AAAAAAAACAAATTGGTGATAACTAGCCTTCTGATTAGCAACTGCTTGCTACATTCTGGTTTCTGTGCTTTGAAAAGAATACTGCTTGCAGGATAAAGGGGATAAAAGTAGACGTGGTTAACATTGTGAGGATGAACTGCAACGGTCCCAAGGAAGTATTATGTTAATTTGGACTAACGGACAGAGACAGAAATACCTTCAAGATGTATAGCATTTAAAATAGGAGAACTGTACAGTGAATGCATGAGGAGAAAACACATTTGTCAAGGTTGACTACGGTTTCTATCCATCTTTCTTGAATCTGTTCATGGTACCAAGCTGTTACAGTTTGTGTCTATTGTTCCCTCAAGCCTCATGCAGTCATGGGGCGGCTTCTAGAGTTTGTGATTAATTCATGATCCAGTGCAGGGATTGGGGTGCGAGTGCTGCCCTGCCTGGGGCGGGCAGTCTGCATACAATGCAAGGAGGGGAGGGAGACTTGCTAGCTGCTGCAGCTGCGCCTCCTCCCTTTGCTCTTTGCTGTTTTCAATCACCATCAATAGCTGCCCTCTTCCATGTGCCACTCTACCTTACAGCCAGCCAAGTACGGACTGAAACCTCCACTAACTGAGCTAAATAAACTTTCCTTCCTTAATTTTGGGTGTCAGGTATTTTGTCACAGCAACAAGAGAAAAGTAACAAAGCACAAGCACCATGATAGATGATTACATTTAACTCCTATAGTACTATTATGAGATTAGTATTTGTCCAGCTTACCTCACCAAAAAAAGCAGGAGACTTAGAGAGACAGATGAGAATTCATAAGCTAAAAAGCAACATGCTGCAATAGTTCTATATCATTTCTGTTAGTCCTCACAGAGCATGCCCTCAAAACTGTTTAATAATATTGCTTGAGATTAGTCTTTAAACTTCACAGAGCATGCCCTTTTTCACCCTTCACCCACACTTTCAATTAACCTCAACTGATTCATTAAGACTTAGATCTACCTCTTCTGATAATCTTTCCAGTATGTATTAGCACCTTGGTACTTCTTTGAGGAGATCTAATTGCAACAGAACATAATTTTCAGTTCATTTAATTCTTTCGGGGCCGGGGAGATGGCTCAGTGGAATAAGCACTTCCCTGGCACACGCGAGGGCATGAGTTCAATCCCCGGTTCCACCAAAAAAA